TCATTTTCTCCAGGAAGTTTATGATTTGCTGTAAAGAAAGAGTCTTCATAATTTGAATGATGAAGCTGCAATTACCAAGTCTGTCTGTATTGGTATATTAGTATTTATGTAGAAGTTTAAGTTTATGTATATGCACGTGATTTGTTTGGGTCTGGTTTTCCAAAAGATCAGGCGGCGAACACAATTCAGAATGTCTCTTATCTTAAAAGTGATCAATTTAAACTCATGATTTGGAAAACTGGCCTTGTATTTGTAAAGTTTAACCTTTATTCATTTTTCCTCTTAATGAAACGATTCCAAAATGAGATTTATAATAGATAATAGATACCATCCAAGTTCGCCGGATTTACGAGATTTGGTTATTTTACGTAGAAATTCATTATGAACTTTTTCTAATATATCTAAATTTTCAAATCTAAAAAAAAAACATATCCAAATGTCAAAATGTCAATAGAAAGACAGTGTGATCAAATAGTTTAATTGTAAGATCTAGTGGTAAATCGAAAATACATTGCCTTAAATTCTTGTTTCTAGCTTTAAGGAGAGAATGTCACACCTAAGTCATGTCATGGTAAGAATTTGATATCTCGATATTTTCATCTCCGAAATAAAATGTAGAATCCCTGGTTTACCAAGCACCAAAAATAACTATTTAAGTTAGCAGTGTTCGATAACAGAATAAAGAATAACAAGAAGTGTGAGCCATAACGTAAGATCGTCGTGATTCAACAGTTTCACTATTCTGTAAATAAGTTTGGAGGTCATTTATTATAATAAGTACATGGAAGAAATGACTGGATACAAATTCACACCCTGCCTTACCATAACATAACATAATCTTTATTTCTCCCAATACATGTATACATGCAAATATGAGGAATTTACAATAAATGATATAATCATACGAGACTCATAAAAAGTGACAAACAAAAATGCTTATCAATAATTACAAATTTAGAACCACTTTTTCGGAAATGAACGACGCCGATACAGCTCAATTATGTAAAATAAATGATTAAATGAGTTTGTGAATATTAATAATAACTATGAAAACTTTACCATTCATAGAATTTTCGAGCAATTTATACCCACCCTCCATACTTTATCAAAAGCTTGAGAGAAATCTACAAAAGCATAGGAAAGTTTCTTTATTTAACTTTTTAAGTATGTCAGAAAGAGCTCGAGTATAGTGTAAATAAGTGATTAGCGCAAGGAAAACAGCTTGAATTTAATGTAGAATATTATGAATTTCGCTTTTATTTTGTTAACAGTAAACCTTTTGTTTAACACTGATGTAAAAATTAAGCGCCAAAACAATCTGACATGTATATAATAATTTACTGCACGACAGTGTTTTACGCGCTGAAGTGTGGTCATAGAGGCACTCGGTATTGACATCGCTAATAGCGTTTTGTTAACGTGAATTATCGGGTGTTTAACTGATAAGACCGGTACTTCTGGTGCAAATTGATTATCGTCGATTGCCCTTAATTCGTCCATGTCCTAGCCAAGAGTCAACACCCATTTAATTTATTTTTCAGAAGGTCTAAATAACAATTGTCCATTTAGGCGGCGCTGTATTCCGATCACAATAATCTGAAGCTTTACGGAAATAGTCGAGCAATTTTCATTGATGATAAAATATTCAACCGCGTAAATTGTGATTGTGACTTTATTGACAATTCTATAAGCCAAAGTTACTTTTAAACTTTGAATGCGTTATAATTCGTTGGATACTTGTAGCAAAATAAAAATATTTCTTTCTTTACATCGCTTGTTTTAAGCTATTTGGAGAACTACTTTGTGTTGTAAGGTTTGTTCTAGATACTGAATGTCAGCATTGTATTTCCTGATCTGCGATCAGAAAATACAAACAGTATGTACAAAAAAGCTTGCACCCTGGGTTTATTCCTACAAGTTTTTTTTTACTTTGATATTATATCCATTTCGTTTATAATCGTATGTACATGTACTTTCATTGGGGAAAAACTAGTTCCACGCTCAATCTCAATTAATTTCTGTTATGGATTCATTTTTAAAGCGCGCAGAAATATCGGTTGCACATGCCAAAAACTGCCGTGTAAAATATGGCAGCTATGATAAACCAATGTATGAAAACATGTACCTGTAATTCTGTAAGTTTCTTGTTTATATTGAAGCATATGTTCAAATGGTCAGCACCAATCCCTCCTATCATTTGCCAGTTTGTTAAACTTATTGACAGACATATTTGTTGATTTTGACAACTGTCTGTTTCTTAGAAATTGCGACAACCAAGATTAACGGCGATATTTTAACGTAGTTATTAACGACGTTAATACTTGGTTGCTGTCTGCCTTTTGGCGATAAAATACACCATTGGTCTGCGGTCCTGATGATATTTTAGACATCATCGGGCCATTATCGCACAATCCAGCAGCAACCTTGTATTAGCCTCTAAGAAATCCGTTGAAAAACGGCATGCAAAATACCCATCATGTTCAGGGAATGGTTATTACTTTCATCAGTTGTACGAGTTATCAGCCCTGTTACAGAATAGCCAATTTTAATTACTGATAAGTTATTTAATGTCAATAATAATATACATGCTCTAATAATTTGCATGTTTAGAAAATAGAATGACTATGATCAGTTTCAAGAAAATAGTATTATAACAAAAGGTTTATACCAGTAATAACAAGTTAAGAAGAAGAAACGCAATGTCTATATTCAAATTCATTATCACATTAACCGCGGTACAGAAGTGTAATACATAGAGGATATTGAATAAGTGTAGGTTTAATACTAAATTTATTGAACGAGTAGCATAAAATCATATTGTGCGAGCCTCTGGCGAGTATAATATTGTTTTATTGAACGAGTTTAGTGTAATATAGTTTTTATTTAATGGCTTTATTACACTCCTGTGCTTTATGTGATAAAGTGTTATTACACTAGTATAATATCGTTCTGATTAAATGGCTTAATCACATTAACCGCGGCGCAGGAGAGTAATAAAGCCATTTAATAAAACGATATTTCGCCAGACGATATTACAATAGTGTAATAACACTTTGAGTTGACTTCATTTGCGCTATAAACATATTGTTAGCGTTACACTATAGGCGCGTCAAATACAAATAGAGTCTTGTTAACAGTTAACCGTTCTTATTTTATATATGTGATAAAAAGAATATCATATTCGTGTAGATGCAATACTAAATTTATTAAACTCGTTCAATAAAACGATATTGTGCTCGCCAGAGGCTCGCATAATATAATTTTATTCAACTCGTTTAATAAATTTAGAATTAAACCTACACTCATTCAATATCAGAACGATATTACACTGGTGTAATAACACTTTGACGTGACGTCATTTGTGCTGTATATTAACATAGCGTTAAATACCGCTAACGTTAGCTTTACACTATAGACGCGTCAATGACAAATGACTCCTTTTAACAGTTTATGTTCTTATTTTATGTATTTGACATATAGAATATTATATTCGTGTAGATTCAATATTAAATTTATTGAACTCGTTGAATAAAACAATATTATACTCGCCAAAGACTTGTTAAATATAATTTTATTCATCTCTTTCAATAAGTTTAATTATAAAAAATATTACACTGGCTGCCGGTACATACCATAGCTCGAGGGTAACTGTTTGTGTAACTGGTAACGAGGCTTAGCCGAAGTTCCGCTAAACAGAGTCGCAAGAGCTAGATATTCCCGTGATAAGGACATCCTGTGTTTAATTGTTTTCTTGCATATTACATTACATTTCAGAACAGAAGTTATAATAAAAACTGATCTTATCATTACGCACTTTTTCTCAAAGTAGCGAATGAACTTATAACTTCATTCACAACGGTAAAATGACGTAATCCTAAGAACGCAACTCATTCATAAAAGGACGGAGGCAATGAAGTCATTTAAAGCACTCGACTTGTCTTGCATGGGGTGTAAGTCAGGTTTTTCTAGCAGCAGTGTAAACGGAAGATAATACATGTACTGTCTGATGTGCAAGAATAAACAAACACTCATTCAATATCCACTTTTTATGAGACATAAATTGTACATTATCATGATAAAAACATAATTGAAACAATTATCATGATCATCATATTCACATAACAGCTGATATTACGAATTAAGATAAAACATGTTATTTCAATTCAAATTTTTACATATTATTCTTCATACATATAAGATAAGTGTCATATTAAAGAAAAACTGGCGGATTCTTTCTTCGAACAATAATTATTACTCTGTTAACTGTTAAATAAATAAAAGAAACTATCAAAATGCTGGAATTTGTCAATCATTATTGTTAGTTTAGGTTATATTGCATGATTCAACAAGAAGACTTATTATCCTGTCAACACTACAATTTTTATCAAAGGTGTTGACTATTTATGTTTGATTCGTCTAACTAACCAAATAAATTTAGATTATTTCAATATGGTACAATGAGGAATAAAAATGACTAGTCAATAAAAGTATCAAATGATTTTTTGTAAAAGTATTAATTGTTCTAATTTGTTTACAAATTTAAAAGTAAAATCAAACTTCAATGTTTCTGACTGATGAGATGTCAGTTATTGTCGCACGCTTTCAATTAAAGTTAGGAACAAAAGTGTGGGCCAATAAAAGTTGTTTTGTCGTACGAAAGAGATTTAACTATTGTTGACATTTTTGTTTTCATTAATCATACTTTACCAACAACAGGATAATTAGATATATCTCAATTATAAACCTTTTTCAAAGATACACAGATCCTTTATGGCAGCTGGAAATATTTCAAATAAAAGGTATGGAATGATTTTTTTAGTCAAAATATAGCTTTTTCTATTTTATTTTTCAAGTAATTTAAGAGAAATCAACCTTAAATGTTTCTGATAGATAAGTTAACAGTAATTGTTGCACGCTTTTGTAATTTGTTAGTTTAATGTGATACCTTTTGTACCACATTAACCACTATAAATTACTGATTGTAAGAAATTAATAATTACCCATGTCTTGATCCCTTGCATGCTGTACATAAAAACGTGTCATGGTCGGGACAATAGAGAGTACATTGCGTATTTTGATGTTCGGCACAAGTCATACTTCTAGTTACGTCAGTAAGGTCTGAAGACAGTAGATTTACGGTTTTAAATTTACGTTTTCAAATATCTGTACATGTCTTTGTGTTTACAGAATAAAAATATCAACGTATTAAGATGTTCAATGATCCTTAGATATCTTAACGATAATGAGCAAAAGATTTTTTTAATTAATTTTGATTTAATCAGTCAATAAATACTATTAATATGCACTGATTACAAATGTTTTACTTTAGCATAACACTGTTGAATATAAAAAAAATTAATTATCATTATTATTCATATTTAACTTACGCAGATGTTGTTTTGCTTTCTCCATGCCATTTGATGAGCAATTGGCAATTATGTCATGCGATTCAATGCCATATTGCACTTGTAGCCATCGTCTAAGGCCAAACAGTTTTTGTTGAAATTCGTTACTGATGACAGACTTGAGAAAATCTTCCATGGCCTTCGAACTGGGGCAGTTGATTTGTATGTCTGTTGAAGATTGGTCAGTGACAGAAATATCTATGATACGGCATTTCTTTATGGCCTTGATGAAATCTACGAGGTGACAGACTGGTGTATCAGTTGATCTTTCACCAAAAGGCGAACAAGTCATACCATCGTTATCTTTAATATAGTCTCTCATTACCTCATAAATTCGTTGATTCCCTTCAGCATTCTTTTCACCATTTTTAGCAATAACTTTTATTTGTAGATCAAGCAAGAAGTGCTCTGAAAATAAAACATAATAGAGAATTAATGCACCGTTTAATGTGCATCAACATATGCAGATGTTAATGCCCGCACAAATAGTGTATTAGCGCTATTCTCAAATAAGTTACATTTGCCATTCGTTATTTTTTTCCACATAAATGTAACACAGGTTTCTTTATGGTTTCCCGATTATATCCGTTATTCATGGTGCCATTAATCATGCATATTAAAAAACAAAGTGCATGCTTGCGTTATTATATCTGTAAAATCATGTTTCTGTCTTCGTTACAATACACCTTACGTGCGCAGTTTTCATGCAAGAACAACAAGGAAAATATAGAGAACTGGCATTTTGACTATGAATTATTGATATATTTCAAATATAGCTAGTTCAACTTATATTCTCATTTTAGTCTTCAAACAAGTAAATGTATAAAATAATAATAATGTTCTGTATCTGTTTTCCTTTTGTCTTGTGTTCAATGTTAACAAGTCTTTATTGATAAAAGTTGTGAATTTTCATTTTTTTTTAAATTTATTACCTTTAAGATTGTTTTGTTTTCCTGCAGATCTAAGATTAAGCATAAGCCCAAGCTCATTTTCTTTATCTGTAAATAAAAACACAACTTGAGCAATAAAGGAAATTTATGAAAATGATATTCAATAATGCGTATCCTATTTTTAAGTTATCCCGCATGTATATAAAATTGGAAGAATCCATTTTTAGACAAAACGTTTTTGCAAGATAGTTTTGACACACCAACACTTTTGTGTTTTTTTAACTTTTAAACAAGAACAACACTGTTTCTGTTCAAAGTTACAAGGCTTTTAAAAGAAAAAGTCTGCAAACTCTGGAATGTTTTCTATTTATGGATTATTCCTTTTTTTTTCTTTTGATTGTTTATTTTTTATAGAAATAAAGACTTTTTATTAGAAAATGTTTCTTGCTTAAACTTTTTTATAGTGTCAAATTCTCAAACCCCTCATTCCTGATATATGTCTATTCAAACATCATTTTCATTTCAAAGTGTGGTTCTATTTGTAGCTTCATTTTTTTAAAAATTCTTCTTTCTCTTTGTAGCTATTTATATATTTTGTACGTATATCAGTATAACATAAGTTATATCAATTTTGCATAATGTTACTGTTTTGTCAAATCCAACAGTTCTATCATAAAAAGGAAACAATTTATGAATTTGTGCAATTTAAGGGAATAAATGTAATTCTTTTCAAACGGATACAGGATTTTTGAAATTCACCGTTACGTGTAAATTCAAGGACAAACCTTTTATCTGTTGCTCTATCAGTTGAAGTTTCAATTCATGCTGAAGAAAAAAAATTAAAGTGTTACATTATATATATTATTCGAACCATTCGATTATTGTGCATAAACATTACGAAGAAGGAACTAAAATTTAATTATATATATTTTGGTAATATTCATTTAATTCCTTATTTTCTAAAACCCAAGATAATACTAACAGAACACTGGAATAGTTCGGATACTACCGTCTAAATACTATATGTGTTTACCTAGGATAGAAGACAGTAGTTTAGACCTGACCACAAAGTATATTGACGTAATAACACTTTTATGTCATTCAAAATTGTACTCTTTTCCATTACTAATGAATGTTATGTTCAAAAAATCTAAACGAGGCTATATATTCAAGCGTGCATGATGGTTAACAGAGAGACATGTAACAGTAAGAGGCATCTGTTTTAACATCTGTTTCTCAGTAATGATTCGTATACAATAAAAAGACTAGCAACTTTAGAATCGCAGTATTTTTAAAAGACCTTTTGAACTTATTATCCATTGTATTAGACTTGAAAAACAATATTGCCTTACTTTATCGGTCGTAAAAGCATGTTCTAACAATACTCAAATGCATTAGCTATAACACTTGCCTGTTCTTTTGCTGTTTCGTATTTCTCTTCTAATCTAGACATCCCATGCGCTCTCAGCTCTCTCATCTCATGTTCAAGGTTAATCTCAATCTGATTTTGTTGCACCTGTAAGAAATTTATGATAGGACTCCGGTCCGTAAACTCATTTGACGAATTTGCCTTTGTCATACAATACACACATGTCTGAATGCATATTAGGCCAATTTTATTTCATAAGAATGGAAGGACCTTTAGTATCACTTGACATCAAAGTATGTACTACAAGAGAAGGTCAAAATGAACTTACGTTTATCCAGGTTAATTTTTTTACAACAAACTCCCGAATTATTTTCATGTAATAGGCTTTGTTGGTAATTTTTTACATTCTGTATTGTTGCAATCTTGTTAATACTCAAATATTTGACTGTGTATATGTGTGAAAAGCCTAGAATTAACGAACTCACGTTTGCAAGATGATACAGATTGATCCACTACAATGTTACAACAGATAAAGTTATTGTACTTACTATTATAGACAATAATGTTCTCACTATTATAGTCAATAAATGTGTTTCACAATTATGCAAAAGGACCTGAACGCACTATTACAAATTATACATGTATTGCAAAATAACAAGTTGTTAAGAATTTAGAAATTGCTAAAGTATATTTTGCAACAAATATTACAAAATTGATCAATATATTCTTAATTAATACATTTAGAAAGGAGACGATTTATTACGTAAAGAACCAATACAATGTATCCCAATTCGGCAAATTTTGTCTTTATAATTACTCTTATAGGATAGTTACCATATCTAGTAAATGTAAGGCATTTGCAACGCCTGGCTCCCCTTTCAGTGGTGTATTGCCATGTTTGTCCTTGATTTCTAGTACTTCTTTGAACATTTTGATAAACTTGTTTAGTTGATTTTCAGATAGTTCATAGTTTGGACTGTGAAGAATATCATTCCGCGCTTCCCGTGCCTATAAAATAAAACTTCAATATTTAAATTCTCATTTTAATGTGTTGCTAAAACACTCTATTTGTAAATTAAGCAACTTTAAAGCCTATTCGAAAAGGCTGTTCTAGAATTGCACTTTAAAGGCTAAATATTAAATAATGTTCAATTGAGATTACAACCAACAACAGATGATAACTGTGGTGAAGATGTTTACCTGTGCAAACGCATCTATTTTCCCATCGATGATAACTTCCCCAAGCATCATTTCTATATAAATGTTGTTTATACACATACTAAGTAAACCAGAGCAGTCGACATCTTTAGCTGATTGTTTGCCTTTGTAGCCAGAAGTATTTATAAAGCATGTAGCAACACTCCACGGATCACTGCTCCATTTCTGGACATCTGTGTTTGTAAATGATGGATCTTGAAAGCGATGTTTACAAACTATTCGATTATAAACGTTGCCACAAAATCCCCCATTTGGACACGTTTGTCTTGACTTGTTTTTCTGACTCTTAGCACATAAACATTGGTGTTTTCCTTGCCGTGGACATTGATCTTGTTTATGTGGGAGAAGACTTCTCTCTGTACAAGTGTTGCATGTGTTTCCAAGTGTTTTCATTAGATCATTATGTTGTTTAGTAACAACCTTGTTGGAAAACCCCTCTAAACCGATTTTCAAATATTTTAACGCTAGAGCGCCTCTCATCCAATTTCTATACAATTCGTGTGTTATCTGTTTTCTGTGAATAATGTCTTTTTCCCCTAAATTAAATTGAAGAAAAAATTGCACCAATGATCTGGCATCTTCAAAATTCGGTATGAAATTAATGGCATTATTTGCTTTTAAATTTAAAGTCAAGGTCTTGACCAAAACCAAATGAATACAATCATGTTGTGACAAAAACTTACAAAAAGGTCGAATTAAAACCAACAGCAATTAGTATCAATATTACCCAAACTTAGATAACTTCCAAATGTGTTGATTTTACCTTGTATTTGAACTGTTGTTTTAGATGAGACATTCCCAAAGTCAATTATATATTCACCCTCGTCGTGTAATGTTACATTCGTGATCATCAATTTATGTGTATTACCATTGGCTAGTATAACCTTTCTACAAGATGATTGTAGACTTTCCCCTTTGTGTCGCCAAATAGGTTTACTCGATAGCAGGTTCACCTTACATTCTATATCAATGTTTCCATGCTCAATAACTTCAATCTTGACAGGCAAATCAACGACCACACGTAATGCCTCATCTGTTTCAATATGATGGGATCATGATAATTGAACGAAGCATAATACATTTGCAATTCATTTGATCATTCGATATTAAGTCTAATATTGCAATATATGAAAAAAAGACACACATATTTGTTTTGAAAATAAATTATACATTAAAATGATTAATTCATGAAGCAAATGTTTTTTCGTTTGCAATGATGTACTAAAAGAAACTCAAAAATAATGTTGCCATAACATAGTTTTCCTAGCAGGATCTTTTTCGTGAATGTACAAATATTTACGCTTCCTAATCCTTGTAACCAAATTAACAATTATTATTTGGTTATGGAATAGACTTATTATAATGTCGTTAGTTGTCAATCAAACTTAAGTTAAAGCCTTATCTAAAATTATAATTTTCATATACTCGTTTTATTAACTAGATAGAAAGCTTTAAAAGTTGTAAATGCCATGGTAAGTATGACTATCTCTTTATCTGCTTCTAAGCATTCAACAAGAATACAAGTATACCTATAACAGTAAGATCAGCGGATGTTGAAATATGGCCATATATACACGTATATTGACCCAGATCTTCCAATGATGCACGGGAAATCGCTAACCAGTGATTGCCATTCTTGCTCATGACCATTAAATTGTTTGAAGTTTCAACCGGTTTGTTATCTTTCCTCCACTCAACATTTTCATCTGTTGGAATGTTCAGTTTACATGTCAAAACAGCTGAATCATTGACGTAGACAGTTTTGTTCTGAAGTTCTTCAGTGAACGTTTGGCCTGAAGTATATTGCATTTTGTTTATATGATTATAATTCAGCTATATCAATTGTTTTGTATGTTATTACCACTAACGGTTTGGTAATGTTAATTTTCCAAAGGCTACTGAGAGTTATTCATACTGTTAATTCTAGTGTAGCACATCACTAAGAAATTTGTACTGTTACATAAGTAAAAGTACTTTTTAACACGTCAGTATAAAATTTAGTGACGTGGTTTATTTTCTAACACAAAAAATTGCCGCCATTCGTTTTCTCGATTAAATCTCTAATTCTTCGGTGTTCATCACGAAGGGCCATTACCAAATAGACTAATGCAAGACAGAAATATTAATTGTTTGCATCTGGAAAGTATTTCGCGTCTTTATTGTCTTTTGGTTGAATAATTGAAAAGTAAGAAATACAAATTCGTTTTTTGAAGTTATTGCATGTGATTTAATATGTGTCAAAATGGAACAAACAGACGATTAAAGGATTATTTAACAAATTTAATCAGTGAAACATGAAGATGTAGGATACCATCGTAATTCCGTATAGGCACATTGTCGAAATCCATGAGAAGAATTTTCTGGTTAGCATAGGATCAGATTTTATAGATCATAACGGATAAATGTGTGTGTGTTTTCGTTTACAAATGAAAGACAGTTTATTGTATGTTCATGACTGTTTTATATCATCATTCCCTTAAAGAATAAAAGAAAAATAGTTCAAGTTCACTAATGTCTTGCAACTTGTAAGGCAAGGACAGTTGAGTAATTGTTACTCTTGGTTCAATTTTGTTACAGTTAGTTTTAATTGAACTTTTTAGATCATTGCAGTTTGTGGTAATAGTATACTTAACACATGGCTTTGTGTCGAATAGTAAAAATATCATCCCTCGAAATAAATACTGTTACCCGAGGCGTTATACTGCTCCTTTCATTATCAAATTGAATACGATCTCATATTTTATGCTAAACTTGCATAAAGCACATACTTGTAAACTGATAAGCGTCTTACAAAATGATTCAATGAAATAAAATAGACAACAGCACAGACATGAATAAGACAATTTCACAAAGAAATAAACATTAAGTAAATTCTCTAGATTAATTTGTTCATACCTTGTTCTGGTTCAGTCAGGTAAACATGGAATAAAAACATGACTGTATAAAATTTCTTCAAAGATAAAGTACATTATATATCATTTGATTGACCATGTATTGTATCAGTTTCACTCATGCTGAATACAAATTTAGAATAAACACACATGAACGCTCACTTTACTTAATATTCGATCCTGGATATCAATAAAACAATTATATCGCTATAGACAAAAATAAACACTATTTTTAAAACTTGCATACTAACGTGTGTATAAAGTAATGTATTTAGATAAAAGATAGCCATGTGAACAAATTTAAATGTAATTCTATACGTCTGTAACACAAATACTTACCATTTGTCTGGAGCTGTTGATCGTTCTCTTCGCCAATGATATCATTCTCTGTTACGACATCTTCTTCTATTGCAATTTTAAGATGAGTGTTAATGTCATCTGTCTGTGTTAGTTTGCCTATCTGTGATTCGCTTAATTTTATTGTTTTTGATTGAAATGAAAACACCATACGTTTACAATCAAGATTAGCTTTGTCGTCTATGAGCGTTATTAACTCAAGTAATTGGTTGTGCAATAAATATTGTTTCTCCTTGTAGGTATTGTATGTTAGGGAGGCACATTCTAAGTAATGTTCAATATCTTTCCTCTGATCATATATACATTGAATGGCTTTAACTTCTGGTTCAGTTAGATCAGATTTAAACAAAGCAAATGTAACAGCACACAATTGAAGAGTGTCCCACGTATCAATGTTGTCATTAACATCTTCTCTTTGAAATAATTGAAGAAACTCTATTTCGTACTGGGTTTTAAACGTATCTTTATTCTCAATTAGCAAAATCCCAATATCTTTTCCACATTTTTTCTCTTCTCTTTTTATAATGGCCTTCAATGCGATGGGCGAAGCTTGTTCCAATAACAATATATGACTGAGGTAGTGTTCATGCCCTCTTGTCACATCACAGCTCTTCTGTAACATTAATAAGAATAATGTTAAAGGTTTCATTTCTTATAAAAAAAAAATCAAAATTCTGTTTGATATTTCATTTGATGCTATTTTGTCCAATTTATGACATAAAATATCCAAGACAATTTTAAATAAGCAAACTAAGCATAACAATAAGGTATAGATACGTAAGTAATAACAATTATCTTTGCAACAATATATAATGCGTAATTTAGAAAGGAATGTGATAAATAAGATATATGAATTCGATAAATATTACCGCTGGGTTCATCTCATTTGTTTTAATTTCCATTTTTCTGATCAGGATGATATGTGATAGTCAAATATAGAGCTACAGCCTGAAGAAACAATCATGAATATTTTAAGATAACAGTAACCACAATAAAAAGTAACATTTAAATACATGTACATGTATATACTTTTCTACACGTAATGCATGTATCACATGCATCAATGCAACTCAACGAATCTTGATAACATTCGATCTTTGTTTGCAAAATGACGTTTCTGGCATTATACCATGTAGTGGTAAATCTTAAAACTGGAATGAAGCAAGCTTTTTTTCCAGTCTCGAATGAAAATATTTTAAATAAAATAAAACAAAAGGCTGTGGAAGATTTTAAATATCCCTCTACTTTGATTTCAATAAGAAAGTCAAGTATTTCATCATTGTTAACTATGACAAGAGACATGTAGATTGAAATGACTTCCAAGTACATTATCTTCATTCTAATATTAAGGAAATTTAAACATTTACAAAGATTTATTCGCTTCTAAGTTTCAGGAATTTATTGACATATACTTTCCTGAAAATGAATATGCGTTTTATAAATTTAAATTTCCGCATGCGACAGCTAATATAAGATATGTCTTAATGTTCAATTACGACATTAAACTTTAAACTGCATAAGTTGCTTTCAAGAACAATAATAAAATGTTTTGTATTTTTTGTTCATTTTGTGTGTTTTGTTTTCCATTTTAATAATGTATAGTAAAAGAAGTATTAAGGAAACCAATATTTTGTTAGTATTTTCTATCAGGGATTATGAAGCTTTAAGTGCCTTAGATGTAGCTATATGAACATATCTATTATAGACATCTTACATTTATTAATATAAATAATAAAACCTTACGGTTAAATATAAGAACCACACTTTTTAGATTATGAATGATAACAGCCGTTTTGAAAAAAGTCATTTTCGAAAAAAAAAGTAACTATCTAATACTTACAGATATGACAAAAGCGAGTAACCTGTCCACATACGTCATGTCAGTTACATTTGCATGTAGATACATGACTAATGTTAGTCCTATCTTGTCTGTAAATGCCCTGTAAATAATATAATTTATTTCACTATTTGCTTGTCAAACAAACGAAAATTAAAACATATATTGCGTTTTGAAGTTAAGACAATTTTTCCGTATGCTCTAGCTATTTCTTGAAAGGAAATTATTACAGAAGAACAAATTTGTTTAAGAGATTCATTTATACATACTTATAACGAAGAGTAACCAATACATGTATAAGTGAATATAACTGGAAAAGTAATTGATATTAAGTTCCTAAACAATAAGATTAATACATTATGAATCAGCATTACTAAATTCCCGCCATACTTGGGTAAAGTTCATCAAAATTGTTCACGTTTGTCGTGTCAATTACTATTTGTGGGTTAGTTATCTATTACTCGGAAAACTTTTTTAATAAATACAATAAAAGTCAAATGTCTGTACGTGTCATGAAGCTACATGTAGACTGCACAAAATCTAAACGTTATGAACAATTGAACCAAAATACATCCGATTTGTAAATTGGAAAACATAAGATAAAATTAAATTCATAAATAACCAAAGCAAAACATTTACAGGGGGAGAACCCATAAATTACATGTGGACAACTGCACGGCTCGGAAATTCTAAAAAACAGGTTGGAATTATGTAACGTATTTTTGTTTTCGATCAAAGGCTGTCGCTAAAATAGTTTCACTTCCATTACAAACAGAAATTATTGACGCATTCTTAACATGTTGGGGATAGTTCTTGTCTTCTAAATAATTTTTATGATAGTTCTTACAAATTAATAATAAAAATTTTGAGGATAGTTCTAAAAAAAAATATACTGGAAGTTCTTTACCTTTTCTAGTTTTAAAATTGTTCAGATATTAAATTTCTTTAACTATAACTTCCTACAACAAAACCTTTTAACTGGGTTTTGATCTACACATTTCCAAAGAAAAGTTTTTTAAAAAAAAATTTTGCTTTTAGTTTGGCCAAATAATATAATAAAAAAAAATTTATGCCCTGTAAGTTTTCTCATGGACAAAAAAAAAACCCAAAAAAAACCCCCCAAAAAATCTGAACTTATCAGGGAATTTTGGCAACTTTTGCAGAAGCGGCGCAGGGGGGGTATTCCCTCCAAATAGGCGGGTAAAAAAGGGTTTTTTGTAGTTTTAACTTTTTTTCGGGAAAACCTAGTGAAATGGCCAAAATTTTATTTTACATTTAAACGAAACCCCGTATTTTGCCTTTATCAAAAATTCTGTACCGTTGACGGGGGGGACTTGCAGAATTTTTGGGGGGAAAAAACCTACAAATTGTGAAAAAGGTCATAAAAAACCCGGGTTACATCGGATGGATGACACTTAGACAAAACAACCATATTTATGAACTTTTGGAAATTGTTCATGCCTGTTAATAAAAGAATTAACAAAAAATGATTACAACGCAGACGGCGGTGAATTCGATTGCAACGCCGTGCGGTGGCCCGATACAAATTATGTCTATTTTGAGGGATTAACTTGACACAACGCTATTTTCAATGTACTTAACATTATGTCAATTATATTATAAATTGCCTATTTACAAAAATGTTTTGTCTTCGTTGTTGACTTGAATGAAGGGAAAATAAATGTTCAAGGGAATTCAATGCATTTTTCATTTTGACGATGGTTACATTATAAAGCATAAATAAAGTAAAAAATAGTAAAGGTTTTTACGATTTTTGTTCTCATTTCAAATGACCTTACAAATTAAATGCAAAGGCAAATAACCAAAAAGCATAAAACAGTGACTCAAATACTTTTCGCGTTTTAAACGAATTCTGTATATTGCTAAATTGCAACTTTTAAGTAGTTTTCATTCTCATATATGTTTATTTGGAACCATAGAATAAACTTTTACATGGAAAGAACTTTTATTGACTGCATTCGCTTTCTTATCATTTTCATTGTGTTTTTGTTACTGATTATTCGATTCATCCGTGCACCTTGCTGCAACCAATACATCGACTTAATCAGTTGGGAAATCGAAAAAATCTCATACACTCATACAAAGATAGAAAATTGTTTTTAGAACATCAATAATGTATTATAAAAGATATTTACTAAGCACTGATCTGAATAAGACTTCGTATATTTAGTCACAGGAAACGCACAACACAAATTATTCGTGTTCTATTTCGATATCATCCATTTTATAGGTCTTCTGTTTTCAAAGTAGAAAATAACATTGTCTTAACTGGCCAGTTATCACAATGAAGGACTTTACAAAATGTTTGATGTGTTTGTTTTAATTGCTATAGTTTATAAGAACGTTAAGAGCGTATTTGATCAACTAGGAAATATTGTTCAAACAATAACCATGTAAACAGTCGAGCATACTTCCTGATCGGGAAACAAGGGGACTCCCCTTCAAGGCTTCCCGATCAGGCAGCAAACGAAAAAAATCCTTCCCGATCCGGAAGGTTTTTTGTGTCTTTTTTACGTAGTTCAAGAAAAATGGCAAGTGCATAACAGTTTTCAACCAACTTCAATATAATTTATTACCCTTAAGTGCAGAAAAGATACATCTAAAACATGTAAAAATCCTACCAAGTCAATTTCTTTTAAAATGTCTAAAATTAAAATAATCTCAAAGTGAATTTAAGTGAAGTTTTACTATTTAACTAAGAAGTAGCTGCTTCTCGTTTTCGAAACATTGCTTTCTGATCAGGCATCTAGCCTAATATTCACCATTAAATATTTTCCGTTTTGGAAGTTTTTTCTTTATGTTCTATTCTGGAAATATTTCGTGTTGATTGAGATTGCCTGGGACAACATCAACAACAAATAAAGTAAGTATTTTTATTAATTATCTGTGCAACAAATCAATAGAGTCATAGTGTGAATGTTTTGAAGTCTAATGTGTCTAGCAGTTGAGATACAAATGGTAGCATCATAGGTTATGTCTTCTTAAATTTTGTAAAAATATATTTGAACATAGAAATCGATTATTCGAACATCAATTTCCTTATTCGTTCTAGGCCCTAACTGTTTTATTATGCCCAACTCCGAAGGAGAGGGGGTATATTGATTTGCTAATATCGGTCTGTCTGTCTGTGTGTCTGTCCGTCGGTAGACCACGGTGATTTTCTCAGAAACTGTTTATTACAGAGTCTTTATATTTCAAATACTAATTGGTCATAAATAGTAGATGGCACCTATTGATTTTGAGGTCAGTAGGTCAATGGTCACAGGGACCTTAAATGTCAGAATGGTGTCCGCTCATTATCTTGAAAACTATTTCTCACAAAGTCTTCATACTTCATAAATTGATTAGTCATATGTAGTGGAGGACTCCTATTGATTTTGTGGTCACTAGTTCAAAGGTCAAGGTCACAGGGGCCTTAAATGTTTTAGCTCATTATCTTGAAGACTATATGTCACTAAGTCATTATGTTTCTTTATTGATTGGTTGTAACTAGTAAATGACCCCAATTGATTTTGGGGTCTTTAGGTCAAAGGTCAAGGTCACAGGACCTTAAATATGTTTGCTTATCCGTCGTTAGACCGAATTGTCTCTGCTGATTATCTTAAAAACTATTTATCAAAAAGAGTTCATATTTCATATACTGATTGGTCATAACTAGTTGATGACCCCTATTGATTTTGAGACAGTCAGTAGACTACTTTGTTTCTGCTTAATATCTTAAAAAACGTTTTATCAAAAAGTCTTAATATTTCACATTGATTGGCCATAACTTTCAGATGACCTCTATTGATTTTGGGTTAGTTAGGTTAATGTCAAGGTTATAGGTGCCTTAAATTTCAGAATGGTCTCCGCTCATTATCTTGAAAACGATTTCTCACAAAGTCTTCATATTTTACATAGTGATTGGTCAAAACTAGTAAATGACCCCTACTGATTTTGGGGTCACTAGGTCAAAGGCCAAGGTCACAGGGGCCTCAAATGTCAAAATGGTGTCTGCACAATATCTAGAAAGGTATTTATCACAAAGGTTTCCTATTTCATTTGTTGATTAGTCATATGTGGTAGATGACCCCTATTGATTTTAGGGTCAATAGTTTAAAGATTTCAGGATCCTTAAATATCAGAATGGTTTCCGTTCATTATCTTGAAAACTATTTATCACTTATTTAGTCTTTTTATATTTCACACTTTGATTGGTTATAATAAGTAGATGACCCCTATCGATTTTGAGGTCTTTAGGTCAAAGGTCACAAGGACGTTAAATGTCAGAATGGTTTCCACTCATTATCGTCAAAATTACTTATCAAGTTTTTGTGTTTCACATTTTTATCGATCATCACTAGTAGATGACCCTATTGATATTGAGGTCACTAGGTCAGAAGTCAAGGTCATAATAACATTGAATGTTAAAATGGTCTATGTGAAAATATATTTTTTATTCCAGCTATCCTTCAACTTGTACATGTATAACTTACTAATGATAGCTTTCATTCAGTTTCAGGTCATAAATTGGTCATTATTTTTTTCTATTTCCATAACACTTAACACTTCCATATACCCATTTATGGCATTTTTCTATAACAAAATTACAAATAGTGTGAGTCAAGAGCTAGAAAGGGGGGCATATATGACCTTGAACATATCTTTTTTGTTTTATTTATTTTATATTTTATTTAGATTTTTTCAATTAAAAGTGGCCTCACTTTAAGAAAACAGAACTATGACACGGTCACTACAGAAACATGTAGTATGCAAACACGTCTTGAGCTATAGCCATTTTCAAAAAATATTTATCAAAGTCATTACCTTCATATCAACAATCAAGTTTACCCATCCGTCTGTGAGCTCGAGTAGACAGTTTACTTATTTTTGAGCTGCATGGTAATTGTTTTGAGAAATAACACACTGTGCAATGTTGTTCAACATGTGCTATACAATCTATAATGTTAGATTAAGGTGAATCCAAACGAAACTTTGCTTGTCATATGCGCGGCAATTTTCTTCAAATAACAATACTAAGTGCATTATCTTACTGTTATGTGTTTTTTTAGAACATTGTTTGAATTATGTGAAAATTGCGCATCAAGAAATTGCTTGTTTTACTTTCTATACACTTGCAAAGAACATGTGTAGGCTAGAGACCTTCGGACAAAATTTTACATGGA